GAAAGAGTAAACTTACCACCGGACTATCCCAACAAAGCAGCTCCAAATATAATATACTAGTACGAAAAAATAACACGGTTTTTTTTTTTTTTTTTACTTTTTAGCTTTTGTCTCTGGCTAGTGGCTAATAAAAGAAATCCACCGTTCCAAATTGTTAAATATTATAAAGTGTTTTCAGGACTCTTTTATTATTTCATCTTTAAACGAATAAATATCTTTATCGAACGTTGTTTGTCCTTATTCTAAAACGGTTTCCTAAGACCTAACGACATGTCTGCAAAAACAGTTGCATGGATTTACGAAGTTCCAAGCGTCAGGTGCACATTGGGCCGATCGATATGACACGTTGTACTATACATCAAGAATTACGTGGGCCACTTCAATTACACAACTCTCGTCTTATTTGTAACACTGTAGTAAACAATATATATATATATATATATATATTGTTTATATATAAATATACAAAACAAGTTTTATATAGGGACGGCATCCAGCGACAAGGATTAAGACAACCAAGCAGCAGAAGAATATCCAAAATTTACCCAACTAGACTCATTTCATTCAAGAACATTATATACAATATTACTATACAACAAAATAAGTATGTAGTACTACTAATTACTGTGCATTTCTGACTAAAATATCCAGCGGAACAGATACAATTTGTTAGGTTATACTAACATAACAAAATAGATTAGACAGTTTATCACAAAGCTAATAACAAACATCTGCTGGTGCAACAATGTGGACCCATTTACTATTGCACGCCTACAAGCAAAATATACAATGGAGCAGAGATACCAAACCACTCCATGATTATTCCCTTTTTTGCAAGTTTTCAACATACAAAACTAGAATGTTTCTTCCTACTACAACAGTAATACTGAACTTTGCTTAGCAGTAGAGTCGATCCAGAAACTGCTTCAAAGTTTCAGACACCAGAGCACCGCAGCAAATTCAGCGGCAAGCTGCAACTCTGATGCTTTGCTTTAGGTCGGCAAAGATGATTAAGAAGCGCTCAAGCAGTTCTCCCAAGTCCCATACTTTGAGCTGAAGCTGCCACCGCCACTCTGTTGTGCATGCTCGGAAATAACTGCACGAGCACAAACATCCCAAGTCCTTGCTATTGCCCCAAGCGACATGGGTTGTGAAAGGCTTCTTAGAAATGTGCTAAACTTCGACTTTGCTTTTACCGAAAGATCTTCATATTCCTTGCTGTCAAAGCGCGCAATATAACAATGACATTCGTAGTTAGTAATAAAGAGCTCTCTTGAGGACGCTAGCCAGAACATAAAAGAAGCATAAGGTTTGAACTTTGACGGCAAATCAAAATAATTAAGTGGAAACTGAATGTTCTTCGATCAAAAAACATCATCAGCAGACTTCAAATTGAATAAATTTCTTTTTGCTTTGCATTGAATAAATTGTGTATATTCAGTTTAAATGATATATAAAGTTCTTATGAAATAGTTTTTTTGGGAGGAAAAGATTGTCGAAACAAAAGGTTCTCCAAGCCGTTTGAAAAGGAGACAAGCCAAGGATAAAATCTGAGATACACCAAATCTTATCATCTCGAGAATTTGACTGCAAATTTCTCAACGTGCATTTGAAAGCAGTTCCTTACCTGATTTCCACTGGAAATTTGTCCAACAGTATTGGGGAGCAATTGGGATAATTTGTGGGAACAAGCAATCTTAAGGGCTGAATTGGTGACTGCAAAAATATAAACAGCACAGTCAATACATAGAATACTGCATAACAGTAATAAATCATTGCATAATCTTTGAGAACCCACCATTCTTGCTGAAGCATACTGTGATTTCAAGTTCGGGCTGAGCGCCACAGCACTGAAAGAGCACTTAACAATGGTCCCTTCACCCCCTTCAACAGCTGCAGCAGCAGCACTTGGATCAACGTCTTCATCACTTATATCAACAACAGTGTCAATAAGACGCTGATTTATTTCCCTTATTTCTTCTAAAAGAGCATGATTAGCCTGCAAAAAGAGCAGCATAATTTACTTGCGATTAGCCTATAAGAAAAAGCTGGCCAGACCTCTGTCCAGAAGATGAAATGCACCGAGAGTGAAATTACTTGGGATCAAAATTGTAAGCGAACAAGGGTGTTTTTCTTTTTATTATTATTATTTTTATTAATGGTTAACGAGGATTTTCTTTCTTTTTTAGCACGAGAATTTAATTAGTCTCATCAACACCATTTTCCTTGATTTCAAATAACTAACCTAACCTAACTTTGATGTGTGCCTCAAAAATGGCTTTTAAAGCTATGATTAAATACTTCCATAAATCTGTGTTCCAAGGAAAGAGAAATACCTCAATCTTGGGCCTCTTGATACCAGATGTTGCAGTTGACTCCAGTTCAGATGTTTCTGAACCATTGAACTGTTTGAAACTATCATTAATGCTGCTGGCTGATGATACAACATTTAAGGGCATGGCACTAGTGTAGCGCTTCATTTTTCTCGTCCCATTTGTTCCATCTTGGGTAATGAAATTTCTAACTTGCAGACGACACTTTGTCATAGCAACTAAATCCTCACCAACTGCAGCTCTAGAGCCATTACCTGGAGCTGATCCTGCAATCCTATCAATCATGCTGACCACTGAGCCAATATCGCTGACAGAGGCACTCAATGCCGTAGGCGACATTGACTTTACCTGAAAGTAAAAACACAGTACCGAGAATGATTTCATGAACAACATGACAAGGAGTATTGAAAAAAAAAAAGCATTAAGCGCCACAAAAGCTCAGAATGAGAAATATCATCATTACTAACCGCTTTAATTAAGCGACCAAGAGGCTGCTCTGTAACGCTTGACTTGCCAGAAACAGATGATAAAACATTACCATGAATACCATCAGGACTACTAAACTCAGCAAGCAAAGGAGAGGCTGATATTCCAGGAGTGCCGATTGCAAGGGATGGAGCTGGAGCAACACCACCACTTGCTTGTTGCTGCCCAACATTTCCAGCATTTGGGAGTGAGGAAATACCTGGAACAGGTTTATCAGAATCTCCAGGCATGGGAGACGGAGCCAAAGGAGTTGAAGGAGATGGAACAACAAAAGGCGAGTTAGCGGATTGTAAAGGAGTTCCAGCTTTGGTGAGAGATGACAGAAGGTTCTGCTGGTCAACTTGTGGAGAAGAATGTTGCAAAACTTGAGGTGATGAGGCCTGAAGATGATTTGAAGGAACGGAAAAAGGAGATCCTGTTTTCAACTGTTGATGGGGATAAGCGGAGCGTTGGCCAGCTGGGACATGTTGCTGAAAGACCCCTGGCTTAACAGCCATATTTTGTCTCATCTTCATGTCATTTACATCATTCATTTGATGAAGCTGAGATATTTGGTTTTGGTGTGTTTGCAACTGTGCAGGAAGCTGCTGCTTTGGTTGCTGCTGCAATTGCTGTTGCTGTTGCTGCTGCTGCTGCTGCTGCTGTTGCTGCTGCTGTTGCAAGATCTGCTGCTTCTGCAATAGTTGCTGCTGGATTTGTCGCTGATGCAACTGTTGTTTGAGCTGTTGAGTTTGCAACATTTGTTGTTCCTGCTGTTGCTTTATATGCTGGTGTTGAAGCATACCAGAATTTGGTTGAAGCGTATTGATGCTTGACTGCAGCACATTCATCCCATTCTGGGAGGACAGTGCATTAATGTTTCCCTGTGGAGGAGCACTCACAGGATTTTGTTGCATAGAGCCCACAGAAACTTGCTGCAATGAGTTCAGTGAATTTCCTTGCCCTGAATCCATATTGGAATTGGGCTGCAATGAATTCATCACATTTTGCTGTGGTGTAGAAACTCCAGATAAAGTAGAGATAGAACTTTGCTGCAAGCTTGTCATATTGTTCTGCTGCATTGTTGCCACAGAACCTTGTGCATTCATTGATTGCAACTGAGGATTCATTTGGTTTTCATGAGAGTGTACTTGGGCGATTTGAGATTGAGGCTGCTGCATGGTGTGCATATGAGTTGAGGAAACCTGTCCTTGCTGCAGTTGAGAAACAGGCTTCCTGGGTCTATGTGTGTTGATAAAGTTTACTATCTGCTTCTCATAGTGAGCCAATTTGTCCTTATACCCAGGTAAAATGCTACCTTTTGGAACCTGTAAGAATGTTATGGCACGCTCCAACATGGTCTTAAATAACTTTATCTTCTCATACTGATCTGATTTTGGCTGTTGTGGAAGAGAATCTTGCTGGCAAACAGAAAAAACAGACAATTAAGCGGAAATTCCCAAAAATTGAAGCAAATTTGTTGGTATAAATGAATTGAAGCAAGTAAAAGAAAGGACATGCCTGCTGTAATTTGGCAGCAATCTTTTGGTACATTTCGTTGAGTTCAGGTAAGTATTGTTCCTTCATTGCTTTGATCTGCAAATTCAAAAAAATAACTAGTTAAGCTCTAATTTCTTCAGCAACCAATAAATTTAGAAAATAAAGTTGCACCAGCTACATGCATTTAGGAAATAAAAGAACACAACTCCATTTTTGTCGTTTACTTAAATCTTATCTTATGCATTCGTCATTTCATGTCTCTCTCATCATTGGTCATTTCCACAATCATCTTCCTAGCTTATATAACAGCTATCGCTGTTTTCTTATGTCAAATGTGCAAATAAAAAATCATGACTTTTGACAATATTACCTTCTGGTAGACCTCGTCGTCACTTACATTTGCATGTCCCGTCTGAGCTGTTGAATCTAGAGACGCTACAAAAGGACAAGGAAAAAGAAGTGCACATAAAATCATATGAAAACTAGCTAGTGAGGGTATTACTAAAAAAATCTCAATTAGCCTAACGTTGACTTAAAAAATGCATTTATAATATAAGTACGTGTCAAAAAAGTTTTCTTAATTAAATCATGAAAAATTTTGAGCATGAAACAAGACAAAAAATTGTACAACGTAATAACATACTTGATGACGTTTCTGGAGGGGCTCTTTGTGATTGATATAACTGCTGCTTTTGCTGATCAATTACATTCTGTGTTTGAAGCAAGGATCCCGAGGTTTGACCTGATGCTTGAAGCCTCTGTGGCATGTCTCGTTGTAAGGGATTTGGTTGCATACTTAACGGTGGCTGTATCTGTGTTGGCTGTGACTGGATCTGTGATAACATCTGCTGCTGTGGGGGCTGTGGTTGCGACTGCTGTGCCTGAGTTGGTAACAAATTAGATGCACTCTGTTGTGGTTGCTGCTGCAGAGAAGGTTTGGATTGTTGTAGCATGTGCAGGGAGTGCTGATTAGTTTGCATGCTTGAGTTACCAGTCTGAGTACCAAGCAGCTGCTGCTGGTGGTGTAATCCAGTAACATTACCCTGAGAGCCTAACTGTTGCTGATGCAAATTAGATAGGTTGTTCTGCTGAGCCATTAACTGCTGCTGTTGCTGCTGTTGTTGCAGGTTTGAGAGATTATTCTGTTGGACAAGTAATCTCTGTTGCTGCTGCTGCTGAATGTCCCCAATGTTGTTTTGTTGTCCAATTAAGTGAGTCTGTTGCATGCTTGTAGAGTTTGGCTGTTGACCCATAAGCTGCTGCTGCGGTTGCTGCTGCTGCTGCTGCTGTTGGGGCAATATTTGCTGCTGTGGCATTTGTGTTTGCTGTTGATGAGCAACAGCAGCCTGTTGAGGCTGTTGCTGCTGCCTAAGGACTGATTGTTGATGTTGCTGAAGCATGGGTTTTGACTGTTGAACAGATGATGGCTGATTTGGTTGAAGACCGGAGAGAGAGGATTGCATCATGTTAGGTTGCATTGCAGCTGAAGTTTGAATAACAGCTTGCTGGGAAGACTGCAGCTGAGTTGGTTGTAACAGATTTGGCTGCTGCTGCTGCTGCATGTGAGATTGCATCATTGGTTGTGGGATATTTCCCTGTTGGAACTTGGGCTTCAAAAGCTGCTGCTGCTGGTACATGTTATACTGTTGAGCGTTCTGTGATTGCTGCTGTTGTTGGGGAACGACCTGTGGCCTTCCATGAACTTGCCTCTGCGAACTTGCATACATATTAGCAGGAACACCTTGGCCCATGGAATTCCCTACTGTGTTCTGTGAAGTGCCAGGCATATTTTGCATGTTTGGATTTTGGCCAACAACACTTGGGATAGAAGTCTGACTTAAGCTGGAAGGAGGAGGTAGTGCAGGTGACAAGGTGGAAGAACTCTGAACTCCACCAGAATTCTGAATATTTTGCGGTAATAGTTGTGGACGCGTTTGAGATTGATTGGGCTGCAATGGCATAGCAAGTGATTGACCTTGATTGTGTATTTGGGACTGCATACCAAGAGATCCTGTCCAAAAACACAAAAAAGAAGCCATGTTAGGGGAACCAAATTTAAACGATAATTTGAAATGCTGAAGCACATATACAAGAAACATCCAGCACTCATGTTCACTTTGTTACTACCCCCAAACACAGATGTATAATTTTGTATTTTCAGGTGTCCAATGTCACAAGAATGATTTATGATCTTCTCATTAAATTAACCGCCCAATAAAAAGCTGTATAACCATATTTCATGTCAAAAAGAATGAAAGTAGGAAAAGGGTGAAGTTAGTAATATTCATATCAAATATAACCAATTAGTCTCCATCGGTTTACCTGGGTCTGGGGGTCTGTTATTATTGCTCACAGGGTTGGTTGGCAAAGAATTGGGTATGGAGTTCTGAGACTTAGTCTCCATGGTCAGCATCTTCAATGAAATTTTCCGTAAATAGTCGGACTGCAATAGTCACAAAACAAAACAAATCAAGTTAACCTAAAAATGTGCAAGTAGACACAGGGCATTAAATGTGTGCCTGGGAATTCAAGTATTCCTATACACAGCACCTGGGAAAAAGAGGACTTGGATCAGGGGAAGAGGGAGACTTAGAAATATGGAAGTACCTGGCTAGTGGCAGCAGTGTAAATCTTTTCCTCAAACCTTTCGGCAATTTTCTTGAGTTCATGCAATCCCTCTTGACCAGAGAAAGGGAGATGTTTCTTTAAGGTATCCATTCTTCACAATCAACACATCATTAGGTTAGTGAAGTTGGTAAGTTGTGATTTTTTTTTTAAGCAATAAAGTAAACTTCTTAAAACTTTACAATGCAAAAATCAAACAGCTAAATTGTTATTAGAAATTAGAAATTAGATTAATTAAGGTTGAGACCAAATGCAAAAAGGAGCAACCAGAATAGGTGAATTGTTATATATATTTCTACTTTTGTGATAAAACAAATCTCTCTCTTTCATCAATCGTAATATCCTCCAATAATGCCCTCTAATTGAGTAACTACCTGTTTAGAATACTTACCCTTGACTATATTCTCTATGCTAGAAAAAAAAAATACAAAGAAACACTCCTCTATAATCAAGAAAAGAACATGAAGTCATCCTACAGAAAGGCTTACATCAGGTTCTCCCACTACAAAGATTTTGAGAGAGAAAAATCTCTTGAAGTGAACTCTTTTAACATTCACAATCCACAAGGAAAACTCAAAACTTAATTTAATCAACAACCAGTTAAAGAAGGTTTTCTAATTCCATGGCATGATATCCATTGCTTCTTTCTCCAGGTTGTTTAACTCTCTACGTTACCAAGCTAGTGAAACTTATAATAGCTTATCCAAAGTAATTACAACTTATCTGACAAAATCTAAATATGTTCTAGGATTTTTTTTTTTTTGTAAAAGGAAACACATACATCTTATTGACGATTCGTTGTCGCGAATCGGGTTGCAATTGAGTCCTCCAATCGACGGCGTCCATGGCGGGTTCTCCACCTTGAATTGGTCTCCAATTATTGTTGTCCATCAATACCCAAATCAACCCAACAAACTGTCAAAAAGCAATGCAAATTGATGATTTAAGGCCACTATTTTTGTTCTTCAAAACGGAATATTTCTCAATAAAAGAAAATCTTCCGAGAAAACGAAATATCCTTTACAAACATGAAGACTATCTACCACCATCCAAGCTAATTCCAATAATAATCTCAAAATTTGTCTTTCTAGCCAGTAAAAAAAAAAAAAGTACAAGAAGAAAGAAAGAAAGAATTTCCTACAAATTGAAAAATCAAAACAAAACAAAAAAAAAAAAACCGATTAATCCGAAATATTCCAATCCCTAAATCCATAGATTTGTTAGATAGAAAAAAATAATTGCAATCGCGAAATTCTGAGCTAGGGAATCGGAAATTAAAAAGTTAAAGGTCTGGAACAAAGCTTTGGTCTTTGGGTGTAGAGAGAGAAAAGTGAGACGAAAAACGACGAATTCATAGATGGATAGATACACACGTTTTATGGTTTTAGAGGCGGTCCGCTATCGGTGAAGCTAGAGATGGAGGCGGTCGACGGTGGCCGTGGCGATCTTTCGCCGGAGCTTCGGGCTTAGAATTGTCGAACGCTTTCGGACCTGAACTGACCCATTGAAGAAGGCAATCAAGAACTTCTTGACGATAAATAAAGTCAGTCTCCTCGCAACACGACGTGTCGCTTTAAGTATCGGAATTAGAGTTGTCGTTTAGTTGAAAACGAGCTTTTTGACTTTTTCTCAGTTTTCTCTTTCCGTCGGACTTCATCAAAATGTAGGTTTTTCTTTTTAATAAAAAAAATATAGGCGTCGATTTATATTATCTAAACATTGCATAAGAATCCATTAATTTCATATAATACAGGTATGTTTGATAGTAATTTTTAAAGTACAAAATCAATTCTCTAATTAGTTGAAATTTGTGTTTAAGAAAAGTTATATAAAATGATTTTTAAAGAATTTTTGAAGAATTTATAGTTAAAATTAGAAACAGTCCAAAAGTAACTTTGACCTTTAGATTATGCGGCAATTATCTAAAGTATAATTAATGAAACTTTCATAATATTCATAATACCTATGGAATTAATACTTGTATAATTATAGTTTATTAAACACTCTGCTTTTTATAACATGTACTTTTTTTAGCACAACTAATAGTAATTTTTTTAAAATTTACAGCACTATCAAACTGGCATTATATCGCATTAAAATGTAATTTTTTGAATAAATTTCCTTCTATCAAATGAGTTAATGTTATACTTTTCTTTTAAAGAAATGTCAATGCTATATTTTTTAATAGTATAGTTGATGTTTTTTCTTTTGAAAGTAATAGTAAACTTGATGTTAAATGCTTAATGTTATACTTTTAATGATGCAAGTAAACATTTAACTAATTAAAGTCCCGTTCATTTCACCGATTCGACTTTAAAATTTAAGTTTTGCAATAGTACAAAGCTCTCAGAAGTAGTCGCATCTAATTTTTTTGTTACAGTAAAAAGCTCTCATATAAAATCACATATTAACTCGAATTAAAAACTCATCAGCAAACTAAACGGGCCCTAAAAGACTAAAAACTAAACAACTAGTTCTACACCATATATTCAAATTTGATGTATCAAGAATCATTGGTCTATAAGTCAAAATCGATCAAACTAAACCCACCAAATGAGCATCTCTAAGGTCTCGTTTATTTCATCGATTTGAGTTTAGAATTCAAGTTTTGCTACAGTAAAAATCTCTCATAAAAAGTCACATTTAACTTTTTTACTACAGTAAAAAGCTCTCACACAAAGTCACATCTCAACTCGAATTAGTGAACTAAACGGGCCCTAAAGGAGTTATCTAAATTTTAGTTAAAATGGCTAGAAAATTATTTTACTTAACAATTTTAGGTGATAGACTCCAACCATACTCTCTATTTTAGCTAAGTATAGATTATTTTAATATTTATTAAATTTAAAAATATAAATAACTTTGTTGAATTCTAAAAGAACATTGGCATTTATTATGGTTTGAAATAATAAAATAATACAAAAAATCAAATAGCTAACTACTTCTTATTAACTGTATTTAACTAGTGTGAAATTAATGATCTAAAATAGCTAATCATTTAGTTAATAATTGGAGTGGAGAAAAACTAAATTCCAGCTAAATCATTAGTTATTTTAGCTAAAAATATGAAATAACTAGCATGGTTGGAGTTGCTCTAATAACTTTTTACTAAAAAAAATGTTTTATTAACAAGTTTTATTTCTAAACTCAGTAAACTACTCATGAATATCCTACTTCAAAGTATAAAAATGAATGTAGTTTTAGCTTTGGATAGGAAAACCATACTCTAACATAGTGCTATTAATATGCCGATGTTAAATTTTAACAGTTACTGATAATCTAAAGTTAGTATGGATATATATCTTGGAGATAGGTCATGTGGAAAGTCTAAAAACTCAATATCAGAGTTGAACACATAGAGAATTTTAAAAGTCACCCAAGTTTTGTAAAATTAGCAAAATGTTGGTTTTTTTTTTATTAATTTAGTGGTTAATTATTGATTAATTTGGTAGTCTATCACTGATTGATTTAGCAGTCAAATACTAATAAAATTAAATTTATCACTGATTAACTCGATGATTTTTCATTATCAATCAATATCAGTTAATAATTAATTGAAATCAATTAGTAATTGAACAATTTCAATCAACAAATTATATGATGATTAATGATAAATCATTGGTAAATTACAATAATGAATCAGTCAATCATTGATTAGCTGTCGGTCAATTACTCATTGACTACTAGAAAAAACGACCATTTTGTTAAAATAAAAAAGTTTGGCAATTTATTAAAAAAGATGGTAAAAAACAGCATTTACCTGATTTTCTCAAGTTTTAAATCAAAAATTGGCAGATCATTAAACTTAAAAGCGATATTTGTTGGATTTAAGATGTCGTGTAGTTTTACAGAAACGACGTGCCGTTCCACTTATACATTCGTTTTATTTTCGTCTAAATCTAATTATAGACTACAAAATATTATTTTTCACTGGACATTGAAAGGTCTCGTTTCTGTTTGTATACTATTTTACAATGTCGCAGCTGTTTTGGTGGAAAAACAACAGAAATAGATCATTTAAGAAACATGTCGTCTTATAATGTAATTTGTATGTATTACTATAAGAAAAGTAAGAAAAGTGAGAGTTCCCTTCTAGTAAGGGTGGTAATTCGTGTTAATAGATTGTGTTCATGTCAACTTGTTTATTAATCGTGTCCGAAAACATCAATCTAAACATGTTTTGTTTATTAAACGTGTCAAAAATGTCAATTCAAACATGATCTATTTATTAATCGTGTTAATTATGTCAACCTATATAACCCGTTTAAATTAATATATTGAATAAATAACTAATATAATAATGACTTATTTAACACGGTTAAGACATGTTTAAGATGTTTATTAGTCAATTTATCTTTTTTTTTAAGAAAAATTAATGAATTTTACCTACAAATATTAAAATTCACATTATTTGTATTTAATATGTCATATAAACTTTCATGTTATATCACATATCATTAGATTGCAGATGACACATATAGTTAATCGTGTCAATTCGTGTTAAGAGATCAACCCTAACCCAACTTATTTATTAAACTTATTAATCGTGTCAACCCGATTACGATCCATACTCATTTATAATAAACTCAAACCTATTAATTTCATATAAATTTCAAATTATATCGCCGTATCGTTACTCGAATTGCCAGCTCTTCCTTTTAACATTACTATATTAAAAGTGAGAATTCCCGTTTGGCACTATTCAAAAACTTGGTTCAAGTATTTTATCCTTTAGTGCTTTGTGACTTTTTTTCTCTCTTCTTCTTAACTTTTGTCTATTACTCAAAATTTTGTTGGAGATCATCGTGTATTTAGCGGTTTAGGCTTTTTCCCACCTTTAAAATCTTCTCAAAGATGATCAATTATTTAGTTTGATGTTTTCATTTTTTAAGAAAAAAATTTATATCTTATATTTCAAATGTGTTTGATAAAAATATGCTTTCATTTAATTTGTTCCTATAAAAATAGTTTTGCTTAAATATAATTCTCTAAAATATTATTGTTTTGAAAAGTGATTTTTATAAATATACATTTTTAAAGATGTTACTTAGATACTTTTTTAATGATGCAATTTAAATAATATTTCTCTTTTTCTAAAATTTTTTCTTCAAATGTAACCCTTTTAAATCGATTTTCTTATCATTTCTTCTACTATGTTCTCTTTTACCCTTTTTATCCCTGAAAATTTATTTTAAATTCTACAAATTTAGAAAATCTATTTTATATTATGATAAAATAGTTAAAAAACTTGTCATATTTTTATACTTTTGTTTTCGTATTTATTTTATTACATATATTATATTGAACTCTTAAGAGAATTATAAAACTAAAAAATAAAGCTAAACACCTTCGAAAAATAAACATTTACGTATAAAAAAAAAACGCCCACGTGTAAAGCACGTTGCTCCAACTAGTTCTAATAAATATTGTGGTTTTTCATGTGAACCAACAAAACAATGAGCGCATTTAGAATTCGTTCTAAAATAATTTTATTTTTTTGTATAAAAATAAAAATGAAAACGTTTTTAATCTTAGACAGAAATCATTTTTGAAAATGTGTTTGGTTGTTTTATCAAGAGATTATTTTCAGTATAAAAAACCCATTAATGTGTGTGTCTCTCACTCTTTGCTCGAGAGAGGAGAAAACAAAAACAAAAAATTAAAAAAGTCTAAGGGTGCGTTTGGAATTGGTTTCAAAATGATTTTGTTTTCTGTATGAAAATGAAAATGAAAACGTTTTCATTTTCGTTTTGAAATTATTTTTGAAAATGCATTTGATAGTTTTATTTAGAGATTGATTTCAGTTTTAAAAAAATTTTGTTTTTGTTTTTTAAAAAATTTTGCACCAAACGCATTTTACGTACGCGTTTTCATTTTTTAGTCTCAAAAAACATGAAAAATGGAAATGAAAACAGAAACAAACAGGGCCTAAAAGTCATTTTTCATTTCTCTCTTATTTTACATTAAACTAAAAAATCATTTTTATTTCTGTTTTTTGTCTTTATTGTGCCAAACGCTGTTTTGGAAACGTTTTCATTTTTTCTTTTTCAAAAAACATAAAAAACAAAAAACGGAATCAATTCTAAACACGATAAATATGTGGCTATGTCATATGTAAGTTCTGACCTTGTTTATAAATGCTCTCTGTGGTTCAACACTTTTTTTTTTTTTTTTTGGATTGACGAGAATTGTCTGGTCTTACTCCTTATGCAGATGATGAACGCTAACTCAAGAGAATGATAAACAAAACCAAGACGATTATATTCTCAAAAAAAAGGGAGAAAGAAGGAAATAGGCCAAGACTTAAGATGAATTAAAATTAATAGGCCAACAGTTTACATAAGTTAATAAATATGTCAAATTACTATTTTTGTCCATAACTTGTCTGGTTATAACCATAACTTGACAAGTTATTGTCTATTTTTGTCGATAATTTGTCTGGCTATGAACCATAACTTGACAAGTTTATTCATAACTTATCTAATTATGAACCATAACTTAACAAGTTATGACCTATTAATTTCTATAACTAAAAGTTAGCCTATATACTTTCTTATGGCCTATTTTCTACTATTTCCGGAAAAAAAAAAAAAAAGACGACGACAAGAGCGAAAACGATAACAAAAATTTGAGACAGCAACATCTCAGCTACACCAATTAGTCAAGAAGAGAAGAACGACTTTAGAAACGGCAAAGATCTGACTGGCTCTTTTCCAACGATATACAAAATACGAGACACATCACCAAACAATCACAAAACTAAAAACGTCAACACAAAAAAACAATTGTAAACTGTGATAATAGAAACGCACACAATAAAAGAACACATTTTCAAACGACGATAGTATTTTAAACTGCAATTAAAAAAAAAAGAGACACTGGGAAACAAGCAAGAGATGTTAAAAAGACCCAAAAAGAAACTACAAACAACAATTACCATAAGCGAGAGAAGTTGAAAAAAGAATTACCACAACAATCGAAAAAAAAAGGCTTTGATTGAAGTAAGCAAAAGAAAAAACAACGACAATATTTTAGAACAACGCCAACTTGAAAACGACAACAATTCAAAAAACAACTGAAAACATATAAAAACAATAAAATTATGGCAAGTCACAACGCAAAGAAATGACAATAACTTCACAAACTACACATTTAAAAATGAAATTACCTAAAACGACAAGAACTTCACAAAGGATACTTAAAAAAGAAAGCAAGGAAGAAAACAATGAGCCAATTAGATATTGCAAAGAGCACTTTTGCTATTCAAAGGTGTAACCCTAAATGTCAAGTGCATTCTTTCAGACTGTAAATTTGCAACTACAGATTTTCTCTAGCTCTTCACATAAAGCACCAGAAAATAAAATTGGACTCTTCCGCAAACCTCATCATAATCAAAACAGAACCAATAATTTAAATGCCTCAGGGCAAAAGTCTATACTAAACCTAGCTAAACCAAGACTGAAAACAAAGCAATGGTACCCTTTTGTTTTGTACAATTGCAAATTGAACGACAAAAAGTTCTCACTAGAGATTATCTCAGAGAAATGAACTGAGAGAATATTTAAACTAAACTCTCTCTCTCTCTCTCTCTCTCTCATGGGGTTTGTCGTGGTATGCTCTTTTATTTCTTGGTCGGTTTTTTTGTAGTGTGGCTATTTTTGTCACGTAGCTTACACAAAAAGGCAAACCGATCTGCCATATCTCTAGATATCTCTTTGTGTCCATCAAAACGTGGTCGAATCGTATCACTACACGTGTCAAGTCTACTAGGAACTTATAACTTATACATTTCTGACTAATCACTGACACCGCCATCCAAAAACAAGATTCTAACTATAATCTGAGAAGGTTTTGGTACATGATCTATGTAATGTAACGTACGTTAATGTAACTTTGTAACTAATAACAAGCGTGTTAATTTTTGTAACTCTATAATCTCAGAATGACTTTGTCGAGATTCTGACCAGACGACAAAACTAGGTGGCCACTTTTTTTTTTTTTTTTGGTTGTTGAAAGTGGTTAGTAGATTCTACTATCTTCTTATCGTCCAAGACCTCTTTTTGACTTTTTTGAGCACATGGATAGATATACACATGTATTACAGTCAGCTGTGCCAGTGGGTTTTCACGAGGTAAAAAGTTATGCTTCAAACGGTCTAGTTTCATTAATTTTAGTATAAATCAGTAGCTATTTCCGGTTTATGAGCATATAGGATGTTAAAATAATTAAAAAAAAAAAATTTATATAAGCACATAGATTTCGGAATTTTTTAGCAGTTGGTTTTGACAACATATATCACTATTTCGTCCTCTCAAATCTATGTTGGCTAATTAAACAGATAGATATTTGAAACTCATGAAGTACAGCTAATTATTTGTGTTGGTTTACTATAATTCAAAGTGATTACTACAATAAAACGATCAATAATTACTAATCCTAAAACTTAGACTGTGATAATTAACCATCTTATGATCTAAGAGGCAGATTCAAAGTGTTTAACATAACCCCGGTACTTCTTCTCTCTTGCAAACAAAAGCCAAAAGATTAAAGAAAGCATAACCCCAGATGAAACCAAAACTAGGCCAATCACAACCAATCTACTGTTCCTCCTCAGGCCTGAACAGTGGTCCACACTGATATTTCTGAAGGTTCTCCGAACAAAAGTGCAGTCTCCGAGCTCGACAAGAAAAGGCCCGTAATTATACAGTACAGAGGCCAGACTAGAGATGGCCGTTAACTGGTCGTAATAAGGCGGCGTCAACCGGCCCACGGTGGTGCAAATGCCAGCTTCCGAAACTTGGCAAACGTAACTTTTCCATTCCTGCAGTAAAATAGATACAAAGAATGGTCTCAAAGCAGTACTTCCACAACAAAATGGAGGTGCATATATCTAATGTGTGTATATATATATATAGCTGCTAAATGAAACATATATATGACCGTGTTAAGAAGCACCACCTAAAGTGAAAAATGCTATAATATCACGGGAAAAGTTCTAATTCATTTCGCCATTATTGGTTATTATCAAAATAATAGTAAGATCGAGGATCTGGATCCTAATTGTATAGATCAGATCTAATGATAGTAGTGGTTGTAGGCATATATAACCTAGTGGTAATTTCATATTTTATCCCGAAATTTCCACACTCAAGTTCAAAAAGGGAAAAAAAAAAAGATGAGATGATGATCGAGAAAGACAATGAACACATAGTTACACTATGTTGCAATAGTACTATTCTTGATGTGACATGGAAATTCTTTGGCAGGATATGAATGAATACTTAACTGAGTACGTAGAGTAATATTTTGGACCGTCACTATTTTATTAGTTTTTAACTCAAATTTTCCATTTTTTTGAAAAATAAAATCTGTTATATTATATATATATATATATATATATTTTTTTTTTTTTTTTTGTTTTTGTTTTTGTTTTGTC